ACTTTAGGCCCTATCAATACTTTACTAACAAAATAGATCGATTGTTATTTACCTTTTTTTTCACAGATTAAGATCGAGTTAACAGCTTGATCCATGCTAGCTAAGTATAAATACAATGTTTCACCAATTTTTAGTTTAGATAGGACTGGCAGAGAAGATAAAAACTCTTTAAGTTCATCAAAAGCTTTTTGGCATTGAGAAGTCCACTTGAAGTCAGAGACATTCATGAGAATTTTGAAAAATGATAGACGTCACTCTGTTTACCTGAACATGAATCAGTTGAGAGTGACTATTTTACCTATTAACCTTTGTACTTCTTTTACCAAGGTTAATGCCTTCATTTCTAAAATAGCTTGAAACTTTTCAAGATTTGTCTCTATCCCCTTTTGGTTGATCAAGTAATCAAGAAACTTGTCTGATGTAACCTCAAAAGCATATTTGTCTGAGTTAAGTCTCATATTATACTTTATCAAAGTGTTGAAGGTCTTTTTGAGGTCTCCAGATGCTAGATCAAATTTTTACTCTTGACCATAATGTGGTTTACATGTACCTCCATATTACGATTGATTTAGTCTTTGAACACCTTGTTTACCAATTTTTGTTAGGTTACCTCTGTATTCTTTAATTTAAAAATCATGATCTTGTAACAGTAAAGGTTTTTTTCTGTAATAAAAACTATTTTTTCCTTGTCTTATTTCAACATTTTAATCTAATTGTAACCGGAATAGGCATCCATGAAACTGAAGAGGTCATGTTTGGCACTATCATCTATTAGCTAATATATGCTAGGAAAAGACAAGCTATCTTTTGGATAAGCTTTATTCAAGTCGGTAAAGTTCATTCACATTTTTCATTTTTTATTGTGCTTTTTGACCATGACCATATTGGCTATCCACTTAGGGTAGTAGACCTCCCTAATAAAGTCAATTAGTAATAATTTATCAATTTCTTCTTTAATAGCCTGTTGTCTTTCAAGGGTAAAAGTTTTTTTCCTTTGTCGAACTGGTTTGAACTCAAAATTAGTATGTAGTTTGTGGACCATCACTTCGGCATCAATTTTAGGCATATCAAATGGTGTCCAAGCAAATAGATCGATATTATCTTTTATGAGTTGAATCAATTGATCTTTATATTGGAGCTTACTTCGATCTGCATGATTTTTATGAAATATTATTCTAGAACGAAATTGTCATGAAGTCTTAAGTTAGCTCGGGCTGGTTTACATCCAAGTCTGGTCTTTAATTGATTATCTCTTTTTATTCCATTAGGTCAGGATCATTTCCTATGAAAATAGATCCCAAAATCATGATTAGTATATTGAACAACTTGTTGAACATATTAGTAGAAGTGAAGTATATTATTCATTTAATATTGTGTTTTTGGCCAGCATGTTATCTCAGTCTAAATAACATCACATTTCTTGCATCGGCTTAAGAGCTCAGTCATTTCTATTGTTGTTTTAAGAAATTAAAAAAATAAAACAATTAAACTTTTACAGAGCTTAAGAGCTCAAAACGACTTAAAAATGCACTTTTCTCAGATTAATCTTATGTTATGTGCTCTTATCAATGGTTTTTTTACTTCTTATCAATTCTTTGTGTCAGTTTTTTTTTGCTTTCAACCTCGATATCGATCGAGCTGCATATCTACTTTCTAGTATTACCTTTCATTGTTGTGACCTAACATTACCTTACCCTGGGCTGGTTTCTCTGAACTTTTCCAACCCTTATAGGTGTTGGAAATTTTACTTTCAAGTGAGGAGCTAAGCTTATGGGTTGCATAACAGACTGGCTAGATCAACCTAATATCATATTATAAGCAGATAAGACATTTACTACCATAAACTCCATAATCGAGGTAATTATCTTCTGTTCAATCCTTAAAGAGATCAGGAAAAGCTTGATAGTTCTTCTTACGAGCACCTGCTCATTTTCAAACCCCATAAATGTGGTGATGATCAATTTCAACTAATCTTCGTCAATCTTAATTTTCTTGAAATAGCTATTGTACGTAATGTCTGTCGAACTTTCATTGTCAAATAAGATTTTTTTAACCACGTAGTTGTACTCGAAGGCTGTGATCACTATGACATCATTGTATGGGTATTGGATCCCTTTTAGATCTTTTGAGCTGAATGAGATCAGCTCATCTCTCTAATATTTTTTTTTGGCTAAGGTGCCTACTGCCATTATCATGCCTGGGTTAAACTTTTTTTTTCATCGAGGTAGAGCTATTTTCTATGATTGCGTTAATTACCTTGGTGATTGGCCTGCTATTGTTAGCTTAACCTTTTTCTTGAGTCGATTCTTCTCTTCGAGCATTCATTTTTCTTTGATTTGTTCTTCCCTCTCTGCCTCAATTGGGCATTCTATAGTCATGTTTATAGTCCCTTTTAAATTGGTCTTATTTTCTCTGTCTCATAAATTTTTTCAACTGACCTTTCTTATTAGAGCTTCAATCTCATTTTTCAGGTCGACACAATCTTCGGTATTATGGTCAATGTCTCAGTGAAAGGCACTCTTTTTTTCAGATCTCGTCTTGTGTCTTGTCTTAGTGGCTTAGGCCATTTAAGGTCAAAATTTCTTTCAATTTGCATCAGAATCTTTTTATGTGAGGTATTTAGTGCCGTGTAGCTTCTTTCTCTGTTAGGGTTTCTAGCCTTATGTTGTCTTTTTTTTGAGGGAGGATTGTAGAATTTCTTACCTTTTTTATGATCAAAGAAAGAGAATGAGATTTTCTCACCTTAGTTTTCAAGAAAGGGGGATGAGCCTCTTTCATCTTGATTGATTTCATTATAGCTTCAACATTGATGTATTTCTTTGTTATTAGCAGGACGTCGGTCAAAGTTTTGGACAGTTCCAACGATAATGTCAACTTTAAGTGATACTTCTTATCGTTGAGTCCATTGGTCAGTGCGACAACAATGTCCGTCTGTTCTAAGACGTTAACTTATAAAGTTTTCATGTTAAAAAGTGTGACATAGCTTTTTAGAGTTTCATTCTACCTTTGGTGAATTGACATCAAGCTCAAGGTCATTTTTTTAGCTCTTAAGCTAATCACAAATTTGGACAGGAATGAGTGACTGAGCTCTTTAAATATAGTGATCGACCTTTGCTCCATACTGCTCTATTAAGATCGAGCTACGCTTTTCAATATAGTGTCTAGACCTTTGCACATTAGAGCCTCGTCTACCTCTTGTATTATCATGTTATTCTATAAAGTTTTAAATGATTAAAAAGGTCAAAAGTACTGTCATATGTCTCAAAGGTTGTCATTTTAAATATTTTAAGAGGCATAGCTCTGTCAATCTTTTCAGTAAAGGGTGAGGTCTTTAGAAACTTGAGCTTATCCTTAAAGGCCACTATTTTTATTTTCAACTCTTTCTCCATAACTTGCATCCGAGCTTCTAAATCTCTAGTTGAAGTTCATGGTCTGTTTGTTTGGATTTTTGGGTTGTGGCATGTATGAAATTATGGTTGGGGCATGACGAGTTAGGTTGGCGTGTTCTTTTTCTCTAGAGGCCAAGAAAACTTCTGCCTCTTCGTAACTTGGTTACCCGATAACAGCTTCTCGACCAAGTGTGACTAAATCCGTCACTTTGAAGACTTGTGGTGGGATTATAGTTTGCAGCATCTGTTTGAGTGCTTGTATTTGTTCTATCAGGGCTTGAAATTGTTTCATGGTCGGTCTCATCTGTGGTTAAGCTAAGTGGATAGAGTGCTGGCTTAGGTGAGTTTTTATTTTAGCTAGGTCGGCTATCTCTTTTTTTTATTAGGTTTTTTTTTCTTGGTGGTATTATTTTGTGTACGGCTAATATAAGAATTTTTCCTTACTTGATGCTTCAAATGTTGGTGTCAAGCTCTGATGTAAGAGTATTTTTGGGTTGTGGCATGTATGAAATTGTGGTTGGGGCATGACAAGTTAGGTTGGCGTGTTCTTTTTCTCTAGAGGCCAAGAAAACTTCTGCCTCTTCGTAACTTGGTTACCCGATAACAGCTTCTCGACCAAGTGTGACTAAATCCGTCACTTTGAAGACTTGTGGTGGGGTTATAGTTTGCAGCATCTGTTTGAGAGCTTGTATTTGTTCTATCAGGGCTTGAAATTGTTTCATGGTTGGTCTCATCTGTGGTTAAGCTAAGTGGATAGAGTGCTGGCTTAGGTGAGTTTTTATTTTAGCTAGGCCGACTATCTCTTTTTCTTATTAGATTTTTTTTTCTTGGTGGTATTATTTTGTGTACGGCTAATATAAGAATTTTTCCTTACTTGATGCTCCAAATGTTGGTGTCAAGCTTTGGCGTAAGAGTATTTTTATAAATGCAAAAGAGAAGGACGGTAAAAAATAAAGATAGAAGATGTTCCCTAAGTTTGAATTTCGACGCGCAAATAAGTGAATATTAGGTCAGGAAGAAAGTGAGAAAGTAGGAAAGAGAGAGATGAATGGGATGAATTTAGCTTTATGGTGTCTAAGTATGGATGGCAACAGGTCGGGTCAAAACGGATTTTTGCTGGCCCTGAACTCAACCAGTCTATATACATATAACACTTGAACCCGATTCGACATTATATAAAATCGAACCCAACCTAATCAGATCTGAAATTAATAAAATATTATTTTTTAATATAAATATAAAATTAAATATATAAAAATATATATAAATATAAAATTAATTAATTAATTAAAAATAATTTTTTTATATATATTGGATCGAGTTTACCTAAAACCCAACTTCGACCCAATTTTAATTTTTTTCTTCTATCACCCGACTTGACCTAATCCGATAATTAATTTTTTTTTTTAAAAAATTGATCTCAAGAGATCAAGTCGGGTTAAAACCCGTTGGATACAATCAAATTATTCTTCTTATGCCTAAATCTTCATATTTATAAGTAAATTAAAAGAAATTATAAGGAAACAATTAAAATAGAGCCAATTTGAGTTGACATTAATCATATTAAATTGATATGATATATCACATTAATACAAATAATCAAAATCCTTTTAATTATTTATTGAAAATTTTGAGAGAAAAAAATATCATTACTCTTATTGACCATTATATGCCCTTCCTATTATTATTATTATTAACTTTTAGGAATCGTTGCGGTCTGCTCCAAAAGAACGTCATCATCATCATCTCTATCAAATTCAGTGAACTCATTTCACGAAGGAAAAAAAAAAAAAGGAAAAGAAAATGTTGATGCGATTTTCTCTTCAAAGAGGTAAAGAAATAGTTAAAAAAAAAAGAAAAAAAGTGTTTTGATTTGTTTGTTTTATTTTGATTATTTCCATGTTTCTTTTGTTGCAGTGAAGAATTTAAGGGCTTTAAGGCCTCAGGTTTTGGCTTCTGCCAACTCTCGTTTCTCTACTGCGACTGAACCCTCTTTTAATCACCGTAATCCTCCGGTAACATGCCTTTGATTCTCTTTCTTTACTCAACCATGTGTGTATATATATATATATATATATATATCCGTGATTTATTATTTTTTTAAATCAAGATTAATCTTTTTATTGCAATCAAAAGAAGACTTCTGGAATGGTATTTAATTATTTATTGAATCTTTTTATATGTGTATTGATTGATTGATTGTATTTTATACAGAGGGTTCCTAATCTTATTGGAGGTGCTTTTGTTGATTCAAAGTCAACAGCAACCATTGATGTTATAAACCCTGTGAGTCTCTCTTCATCTTCATGTGTATCTATATTTGAATTTAAATGTTTGTAGGATTTATGGAAAATATTTGTTATTTGGCAAATAGGCAACACAAGAAGTTGTTTCACGAGTTCCTTTAACTACAAGTGAAGAGTTTAAAGCTGCAGTGGCTGCAGCAAAGCAAGCTTTCCCGTCGTGGCGAAATACCCCAATTACAACTCGTCAGCGTATCATGTTCAAACTCCAAGAGCTTATTCATAGGGACATGGTAAACATGAGATTAGTTCAGGTTTTTATTTCTGTAATAATTTTGTTATATAGAGGCTTTTAGCTAATCTTTCTATTTAATCTATTTTTTGTTAGGATAAACTTGCCAAGAATATTACAACTGAACAGGGCAAGACATTGAAGGATGCTCATGGAGATGTCTTTCGGGGGCTTGGTTAGTATCTATATTCTTCACTGTATTGTTTGAGTTAATTGCAAAAATCTTCGACCTTGACAAACAGTATGGATTAATAATTTTTCCTTTTTTTTATTTTATTTTCTGGACTTTTTCATATAGAGGTGGTGGAACATGCCTGCGGAATGGCAACCCTGCAAATGGGAGAGTATGTCCCCAATGTATCTAGTGGAATTGATACATATAGTATAAGAGAGCCACTTGGCGTTTGTGCGGGGATTTGTCCCTTCAACTTTCCAGCAATGATTCCCTTATGGGCAAGTCTTCTTTTTACCCCTAGTAGTTTCAATTTTCATAGCATAGTGAGTGCATGTTATCCTCTGCTAATTGAAGTCAGGTCTTGATGGACAAAACAAGTTTGCTTGATTAACTTGTATCTATTTCTTAATGTACATGTTTGTCCTCCTACCAAATTGCAGATGTTTCCTGTAGCAGTTACTTGTGGTAATACCTTTATTTTAAAGCCATCGGAAAAGGATCCTGGTGAGTACAACCTTCTAACTGTTATGACGTAGAATCTGGGGTTTTATTTTCCTTGTTGTACTGTGATGTGTTAATTCTTAGAGGACAAAAGGTTGCTATATATTGTTTTACCTGGTCTGGTCTTTAAAGATACTTGAATGTTGATGTGCCGCATCCTGCATGAGAGGTACATTATAGTTTAAGTTTTTCTTATAATTGCTACTGTTTTCTACCTTAATTTTATCAGTTACGTGGAAAAAAGACAACTTGGTTGTCATTCTTTTGTTCTTACATAACTTCTTTTTTCCCTATCTCTTTTCTTAAAATGTAACTTTTATACTTTTTCAGGGGCATCTATAATGCTGGCAGAGTTAGCAATGGAAGCTGGTTTGCCTCACGGTGTCTTAAATATTGTTCAAGGCACCAATGTATGTTCTTCAGCAACATTATTTTATGAAGTCCACTGCTTATGTTTCTCCCTTCTAATAAATAAACCTATTTGCATACTTGGAATTTGTTAATTGTCACTTTGAATATCAATTTATGATTTTTCTGTAAATTCACAGTTTGCATTACCATCCTTAGGAAAAAAAACAAAATCATATTTTCCTTCATTGTTGTTTGAATGATATAAACTTATGATGTTTCAGTGAATTGATTCTACTATATATATCCTGATATATTTGGTTGTGGCAGGACATTGTTAATGCTATTTGTGATGATGACGATATTAGAGCCATATCATTTGTTGGTTCCAATACTGTAAGTATGCATAGCATATCTCCATTCTTCATCAGTATGCCTTTGCATCCAAAGCACATACATAGCTATGTATGTGTTCTCATTTCTCAGCTTTCATAATCATTTGGGATCTAAATATAGTTCACATGATTAATATCTTAGTTATTGCTCTTAATATCAGTGGTGGTAACCTGATATTAACAATTTTTTCAATTTTCGACTTTCTTTGGTCAATACCATACCAAATATGAAAACCTGATTTTTTATTTTATCTGTTTCATTTCTTGGCCGTACAGACCAAATCTCATTTAACATTTTTGAATGTCTTTAATTAACTAGGTGTTGGTTGTCTTGGGTTTCAGCTCTTCCCCATGTCCTTAATTTATTTTTTTTGGCAAGAAAAGAATCTTAGAATATTGGAGTACAGCCTGTTAATTTTTAACCCTCTCTTTCTGATGATTCCCTAGTTTTTGTGAAGATGTAAACTATTTTATCATGTTCATTCTCTCCTTTATGTTTTATTTTTTTAGCACCACAGACTGCCTTTGCCTAATTTGTATGTTTATATTTTGTGGGAAAATTAAAATGACTATTTCTGTTGTGATATGACTGGTTATGAGTTCTAGTTTGTCTTAAACTTCTTATTGAAATTCATGAAAGGATCATTGATGTTTGCAAAGCTGTTTTATATGCTGGTCATATTCTTACTTGATGTTTTAATGTCTTTCTTTGAAGGCTGGCATGCACATATATGGAAGAGCTTCTGTTAAAGGAAAACGTGTGCAGGTAAGTGCAATTCATTTACTTTTGTAAGTGATATGCAATTTGTCTCTTAGTGATAGGATCACTTCTGTTAAGCCATCGTATCTCACATCATTTTACAGTTAGCTATGTCTTTATATTCAGGTTGGACATATCTACCTTGCCAATTGGTAATAGGTTGGATGCTTAACAACTAATATGGTTTCTAAAGTTGAACTAATTTCCTTCCTGATTAACTATTCTGCTCAGTCCAACATGGGTGCCAAAAATCATGGCATTGTGATGCCTGATGCAAACAAGGATGCTACTTTAAATGCTCTAGTTGCTGCTGGTTTTGGTGCTGCTGGACAAAGGTGCATGGCACTTAGCACAATAGTCTTTGTTGGTGACTCAGAATCATGGTATTGGGTTTTTTTTCATGTCTTATCTTGTTTATATCTTATGAATCTATGATTAGGAGGTATCAGTTTTGACCTTTTCCAGGGAGAATCAACTGGTAGAACGTGCCAAAGCTCTTAAAGTGAATGCTGGAACTGAACCTGATGCAGACCTTGGTCCTGTAATTAGCAAACAGGTAATACGTGTTTCAAATATTTCTCACCTTTTACAGACTACTGCTTGCATGATACCAAATCTCATGATAAAGATGGTAGAAGTCATTCCAAGTTCCTTTCTTTGGACAATTTGAATTGCCCGGTAAAATCTATTACTTATCCTAGGCCTACCCTTATCAAGGTATCAAGTCAATCATAGAGTTGTCTAATGGGACTTGGAGCTGGGCCTCCCAGCAAAAAGGTTGTAGCCTGATCCAACTTGACCCCATCCTGAGGGATGGGGGCTAATGACCTCATATTCTATAATTTATGATGCCCTTTTAATGCTTTTGATTCATTCTTTGCATCTGTTTGGATCCTCGATGTTTTTGTTTTTCATTGGAATTCTTTTGCATTGACAGGCTAAGGAACGAATATGCAGATTAATTCAATCTGGAGTTGAGAGTGGTGCCAAACTACTGCTTGATGGGAGAAACACAGTGGTATTTAATGTTCTATCTTATTCATTATTTGGTTTTGTCCATTTTTTTTTGGCATCATATAGGTGATAGTATATTCCTTCTTCAAGATTGGATAACCCTATGAAAGAGCACAAAATGATTGGAATTTTGGATCCACTTACAAATGGATTTGTCTTGGGCCTAGTGGCGGTAGAGATTGAATTAAATTTATAGCATATAATATGATCCAGTAAGAATAAATTATTACTACAATCCAGGTGATTTTGCTGGTCTACCTAAGATCCTTCCTCCTCCTTTTGTCTTCTTTCCTGTTTGGTTTTTTGATATCTTTCTGAAGTGGCTAGTATGGTCCTTGTTGGGTCTTTTTTTCCCTGTTTCTAACTAGATTTTCAAACTTTTTAGCAAAAACCTGTTATTAACTATCTATGAGTGACAAAATAGGTTCCAGGATATGAGCAAGGCAATTTCGTTGGTCCCACAATTTTATCTGGTGTCACAGCTGACATGGAATGCTATAAGGTATTAATTTTTGTTTATAACTTGTAATACATTGTTTAGACTATGATCTGGAAAACACCAGGGGACAGTGGGTAAAGTGACTCTTGAACCTTCACAGAAGATACCTGACTACTTTATTTTGGCCTGTGCAGGAGGAAATCTTTGGCCCAGTTCTCATTTGCATGAAGGTGAGTTACTTCCTTTCCTGTTTCTAAGCTAATCAAACTGTTGATTGATTAGCATTGCCAACTGTTAACTGCTCTTCATTTCACACCCAATGTTCAGGCTGACAGCTTGGAAGAGGCTATAAACATTGTTAATAGAAACAAGTACGTCCTGAGTCACAGCTTCTCTCTTGCTCCATCAAAGTTACATATTCGCGTTTGTTTTACTTGTGAGTTGTTCTTTCAGATATGGCAACGGTGCTTCTATATTCACTACATCCGGTGCGGCTGCAAGGAAATTCCAGACAGAGATTGAGGCTGGGCAGGTAAAACTCTGGATGAAATATAGTAGGATATATGGAGAATTGCTCAGAGCTGCAATAGCAGAATCTTTATAAGTACCTCTTACACAATATGATAGGATTAACTGTGAGGTCATTTCTTTGTTGCTCTAAAATTCAAATCGGTAACTTGTTTTGTTTCTATTTAGGTTGGCATCAATGTTCCCATACCAGTTCCTTTACCGTTTTTCTCATTTACTGGCTCTAAGGCATCTTTTGCTGGCGACCTTAACTTTTACGGTAATATATGCATCATAACTAACACGGTTCCTCAACTTGCCACCCACTAATATCCACCCCGTTTCTCTGTATGACTTTCTGAGTTGGAATCTTATCCTCAATTGCAGGCAAGGCTGGAGTTAACTTTTATACCCAGATTAAAACAGTGACTCAACAATGGAAGGGTCTCCCAAGCGGCAGTGGAGTTTCCCTAGCGATGCCAACATCACAGAAGTTGTAATCACGCTGTGGGATTGTTCTTTCAGGAGTAGTATGTACCCTGCCGTAAACTAATATTAAGGTCTTCCTGCTTTGTTTCTTTCAACTTATTCCAGTTCCCTGCCGACTGTCAAGTAAATAAGATGGAAAGGGGGAGGGGGGACAAAAGCTGAAAATGTTTTTAATTTTAGGAGAAAAGATCATTTACCTAAGATTCTCTTAGCGTTTAAGTCAAAAGTCGCACTTTGTTCTGAGCAATAATAGTTTGCTGAGAAGTGAAGGACTACTCTTCTGGAAAAACTCAATGGTGCTTGACTCTCCTAGAGCGTAGCCTTAAGAATAAATTCAATTTCAGGGGCCTTTTGTTTCGGTACCCGGGCTCTCTGTTATGCATTATACTGTGTTTTGGTTCGCCGTTGATTGTCCACCGAAAGCCTCAATGCCTGCTGGGAACATAAATCACTCCATAAGAAAGCATTGATTCATGTCATTGTAGCTGTGTGGCAAAGTATGTTACCAAACATTCAAAAGGGTTAAGTGCAATTGGTAAGGGGAGGAGTTCTTTTTTTTTTTTTTTTTTTTTATGTCAATTTGGGTTCCATCTTTATGAGCAATTTTTCAGAGTAGAATTCTGAATGCACTCTTAAAAATTGTTCAGAAAGTGGATTAGATATGAGAAAAGGATTAAAATACCCTGACCATGTTATTATAAAAATAAAATACGGAACCAAGACATGTAACTGAAGCTTCAAAACTGCTCATCCTTTGTGCTTCGCTTTCTTACATTTCCAACGTCCGTGAAATATAGATCTCTCTTCTATAAGAGTCATCATTTCTCACAGAATGTGGTGAGGTAGTCAGCACAAGTCCTTCACATGAAACAATGGAAGTTTATCGCCCAGAGTAACATCATGATTATCATACATATCTAAATCGTAAAAGCAGATCTTTCACGAATCGATTTGCGATTTAATGTTTTCAAAACTAATTTGTTTTACTTATTTGGTTTATCATTCACAGACTGATGGATCAGATCAATTACATGCAAGAGGATGATTTGTGTAACAAGAAAACTCAGAAACAATCCACTACATTACCAAGCTAACCTTTTTAGGCGATACGATCAATTTCTGCATTACATGCTGAAAACTAAGAAAGCCCTGGGATAAAGAAAAACCGTTAAGATAGAGACATCGTCTCATGGTTAGCTTTCTAAACGATACATCGGTGGAGATTTCAAGATTAAGTACACAAACGACACCAGTAACTCAAGCAAGCTTGCCTCGTCCAAGACTATCCAGTTGTTGAATCCGGGCTAAGTGTTTCCTTCCCCAAAGGTGACAGTTCAAGTCTTCTGAACTATTGCATCTTATTTTACAAATGGTGCACCAAAATTGAGGAATTTTAATTTCAGCATCTTTCTTCTGAGCCTGCTGCTCGCCTTGTACCTTTTCACTTGGTTTTTCTTTATTTCCTGCCGTTTTGTTTGGTAATGATTTCTTTGGTTCCTCTTTGGGCAGATTAGATTTGCTTGTCCCTGCTTCAGGATTCACCGCTTTGCTGGATGTGGATGTATTACTTCTGGGAAGATCATAGTTCTTAGACACTGAGGTTTGCTGCATCTTTTGGCTTGCCTGAATACTAGTGCTGGAAGCATGTATCTGAGGTTCATTATGGGGAAGATCAGAATTCTTATCCCAAACCACTGAAGCAAAAGAAACTTTGCCTTTGGAAGGCTGATTCTTTGCCTTCATTAGCTCCTCAGAAGCATTCCTATGTCGTCTTCCTTGGAGATGGCTATTCAAGGTTTTCTCACTTGTGGTTGTCACTTGACACATAGCACAGGTCCACTCCTTCTGAACTTGCTTTTCTGAAGGTATCTCAGGAGGATGGCAAACTGCTGCTTCCTTGATTCTGGGACCTGTAATAATATTGTTCACTGTCAGAGCATTATTGGGCTCTGTTTCAGGAACCTGCAAAAGTGATAAAGTCTGACATCAGAAGCTATGAAAAATGTTTTGTGTTCTGATCTATTGTAGGAAAGGCATAAAACTCATGCATATTCCCATTTCCATACCAGGGCACAAAGATTTTCCTTTCCCTAGGGAAAACTCGTATGCTAGGATGAAATTCCAAAGAAAAATGAGTACGAAACTTTACCAAGTTCACTGGAGCAACTTCCCTTTTCTCCGTTACTTGTACAGGTTTTATGTCTTTCTGCAATATGCTAGGCTCTGTGCCCTTTGATAACATTGTGAAACAAAAGGATTAGAACATGGAAGTTCTAAAAATTATGTTATTTTACCTTATCACAACTTGTGTTCAATAACCATTAATGTTTTATCTTTTTTCTTTTCCTTGTATCTAGATAGATCGCCTGGTGCTCCTATGGATAAGGAAGCAAGCATGTCCTGAGAATCCCGCATTTCAGAGAAAATTGTCTAGCTTATATATATTATATATATAGCATACCTTGCTAGCAATAAGTTTCTCCAAAGCTTCAGGTCCATGTGCCTTAACATATCTATCTGCCTCAGCCAGAAAATTGTCCTTCAAAACGAACTCCTGCTGCTTCTTGAACCAATTAATGATAGTTTGCATGTCTATATAAAGACATGGGTGAATAAAGTGGTTATAGACATAAAAAGCACCATCGAACCGTGGTATCATCATCCAGCAGACGATCGTTAGCTTCATGTACGGCCAGAATGGTAGCCTGGAAATCAGCATTTAGGGTTAGCAAATAAGTCAATAAATGGAAGACCAACTGGAAACCCTAAACCCAACACCAAAAACAGAAGATTACCATTGAAGCATGCCCATGAAAGCATGTTCAAACAGGGAAATAAGTGAGAAGATAACCCAGTAGGTGACCAATTTCTTGGTGTCAGTGATCGAATTATCCTCAATTGCAAGAATAGAAGCACGTCTGTTAAGAGTAAAAAAAAAAAAAAATCATCGCCCATCACATAAACCCCCCCCCCCAGTTATGTCATTTTAAATGATCTTGAATCTAATCATTAAGCTATAACATCATAAAATAGAAATGTTAAAAGAGTAAATTACACCAATGGAAGCAGAAAAAGAAACAGTAAATTGCTAAATATCACCATTATCATAAAATATGTTAAGAGAGACTTACAATGGATAACCCAAAGCAAAGAGAGGCCTGCAAACAATGGACGAAATATGAGAAAAAAGTTTAACAAAGAATAATAATAATAAAAGAAAATGAAAAAATGAAAAAAAAAGAAGATAACCATGCAAGAGCATCAAAGCATATCAATGCAAACTTGACAAAAGCCTGGAAACTCATCTCGAATTCAACCTCTTTTAATTCATTTGTCTTCTGAAACAGGCTATAAATATGGAGGTGAATCTGAGAAAACCTCCTGCAGCAAGCAAAAAGAATGAAGACAAAAGCTGAACAGGGTTCCAAGTCAACGTTTGTCAAGTTAACGAATTTATGACGCCGGAGTTCGAATCTCGTTTTCACACTCGCTTTAGTCGCTTTACTCGTCACGCGTTCAAGCACGGTTCTGTGTTTGCTCCTTTTTTGATGGTCGGTGAGTGCGGTATGCATATACGGGCTTAGGTACGTACAGATTCCTCGTACGGATAAAACAAACATGATGTATAATAATTTATTATATATAAATTTATTAAAATAGATATATATTATTTAATTATTATATTTAATTTGTAATAAATAATTAATTTTTTTAATAAAGTAATTTTACATCTAAAAGTTTCCTAAGCACAGGGAGACAGATTGTCAAATGGTCTGATGATATCTATTAATTTTTAATTTGGAGCATCATTTTTAATTTTAATATTTTTTATTATAATATTATAATATAAATGAAATATTTCTCGTGCAAGTTGAAGGTTGAAATGTAATTTTAATTTTAATAAATCGTGTTGTTTTGGTGTTTGGATAACATCAATGAGTTTTGATGATCTGCTTATTGTTATAATGCATGAACTTTTCTTGTTGCATTCTTTCACGTACCTTTTCTTTTATTTTAATATTGCTTTTCTTGTTATTTTTATAATTTAAAAGTTTTTTAAAGTAATTTATTATTATTTAACTTATCATTCATATAATTTTAAATAATTAAGTAAAAATATTTTGTTAAATTTAATACATATATTATTAATTTTTAACACAATTATTAATTTATATAAAAATAATTTTATTAAATTTTAATTATTTATTAAATTTAATATTTTTAATTATTATTTTCTTTCTTATTATATTTTTATATAAAAATAATTTTATTAAATTTTAATTATTTATTAATTTTAATATCTTTAATTATTATTTTATTTCTCATTATATTTTATCTCACCCTTATATTTGCATTCAAACAGTATTTACGATTACAACACTCAATTTCATTATTACAATAATTAATTTTAACGTCATCTTTTTTTTAAAATCATCCAAATCAATAACATTAACCATCCAAATAGAACTAAAGACCGGAGGAGTTTGGGCCAGTTTTTGACCCAATTCGATACAGACTATTAACCCAAAATCAACCTTAAAATCAATTCCGCTATGGCGGCGGTGTTGTTCTAAACGATCGAACTTCGAGTCAGTTTACTCTGCACACTGAAAAGAAATCAATCATCGAGGGAAAAAAAAAATGGAGAAGCTGAAGAAGAAAGCCACATCGTTTTCGTTTTGGAGTTGGGTGATAGCATCGATCATCTTCAGACTGATTCTAATTTACTGTCCCAAAAACCTGAACCTATCTTCTCGTCCCGAAGTCTCCACTCCTCTCACCAGCTTCCATCGCCGTACTCTCCATTTCCCTCCCTATCCATTCAATTCGTCTCTTCCTTTCTTTATTTTTTAACTAAAAATTTCTTTTTTTTTTTTTGAATTTTTTTGAGTGCAGTGGCTGAAGGCTACTGGTTAAAGCAGTCATCCATGTCTCCTTTTGCAGGTTGTTCTCTTTTTTCTTTTCCTAACATTTTTTTTTAATTTTTCATATCTATTAGATAAAATTAAGAAATGTGTTTGGTTTCTGGTTTTATGGGTTTTCAGGATCTATGTACCATGGTTCCCCTTTGTTATTGTCACTTCTCGGACCGCTTACTGTTAAGAGGTTCTACGTCAGCCCATTATTAACTTTTTTTAACCTAATGATTAGGCTTTAATCTGTAATGATTTTTTTTCTTTTTAATTTACATTTCTTAATGTTTTGATGATTAGGATTTGTTTTTTAAATTTGTGGGTGGTGCAGAATTGAAGGACAGCCTAATCATCTTTTGTACAGGTAGCATCTTTTCTTCTATTTATATTAATGCGTTTTAGTGATAATTTTAATGTGTTTAATGATCTATTTAAGGCAAAATGTTGATCAATTTTTTGTGGATTTTTCTGTTTTTTCTAGTATGGCCAATTTTTTTCTTAAAAAAAATGTGTATTTGTTTGCTCATGTTGTTAATGTCAACACATTTTTGGATACAGTTTGGTTTGTGTGATTGCAGATATTGTTAGTGCAATGCTTTTTTGCGTTACTGGACAAAATCTCCGGCTTGCTTATCTTCATAGTTTGGAATCAATAGGCCTTGTTAAACAAATAGAAGTTTCAGGTGAATTCTTTAGTATGCATTGTTATTAAGACGAAAAAAAATACTTCATTGTGCATTCTTCATGTAATTACAGTGAAATGCATGTTGTATTCCTCTCATTCCTTGTGTAAAGCTGATGAACTTAGTTATTGATTGTAACCAGAGGTCATCTCTTCTGGAGACGTTGCTGCTCTTATCTACTTGTGGAATCCTTTCACTATAGTTGCATGTGTGGGCTTGTCAACATCACCAATTGAAAATATGGCTGTCATCTTGTGCCTTTATGGAGCATCTTCACGTTAAGAGATTTTTGAAAGCTGTAATATCCCCTTCTGGTGGTTGATGATAGCTTCTGTGTGTGTGTATTTTCTTTAAACACCATTGTACTTGTCTTGATTTCTCCTTTGAGTTATTGGTTGAAATTTGTCAATTTGTTCTTGAGGAATGCATTCCTCTCAAAATCTCTTGAATGCTTATAAAACCAATGAATTCTGGATCATGCTTCTGGTGCTTGAAACCTTTTAACTCTGATGCTGCTATAACTTATTTTTAATATTCCCATCTCATATCCTTATACTACTTGTTAATCATGGGGCTTCGATTTAGAGTTTAAAAGGATATGGATATCAAGTATCTACGTAGATTTGGAGTGTCAGACACAGGTATCCTCAAAATTTTAGCATCAGCGATAGACACTCACACATCATACAAGTTTGGATTTTTTATTATAACCTGATTTAACAACAATAGTTTCATATACTTATAGTTTTTAGTGTAATTATAAGAGTAAATTAAGGTATTTAGGGTTATCACCAGGGTCTCTAAATACGCTAAAAAGTGGCTGGGTTGAAGATATCCCATTTGTAATATGTTACTCAAGAGTCGGTGAACAGTTATCACCTTGGCAACATTTTGTTTCTTAGAGATAAGGGGTGTTTTGGATGTGTCTATGTGTGCAGCTGCTACATTTTAGTTTTGCTGTAAACAGAAATTTTATCGATTTGTTGTTATATTTTGGTAGTTTTGGGTCATCATTTGATGAACTTCTTCTCGAGTTGTCAATTGGGATTTGCAGCTATCGACATATGAATGCATTAGTGTTTATTTGGTACCATTCTTGCATAAATAGCATTTTCTATTGAATAATGTTTCTGTGGATTGCAGGACTTGTTCACTTGGCTGCTTTTGGATGGGTCATTGCAACTCATTTGTCTCTTTATCCTGCTATTCTGATTATTCCAGTACACCTTTATCTTGTTTTATCTATCTGTATCCATAGAGCAAGTGCTTATAACGTGCACAAGATATTTTTTAAATTTCCTTGTTCAGGTTTCTCAATGTAAGTCAATCTCCAAGAAGTATAATTATTGTTCAGCTTTCTTACAGGTGATCTTTTTATTGGGATGCGGTCTAGATGCTCCTTCTAGGAAATTGTTTATGCAAAGGCACCAACAAGAAGACATGTTGAACCGGTCACAGCTCCCTCTTGGCTTCTCATGGAGACCAATCATTCATTTTGCATTTTGGGCTCTTCTATGGTCCTATTTGTTGGTTCTTTATGGCATTTCTTTGAAACAGTTTGGTGGTCTATCGGAGATGTTTAAAAGGTACCAATTGAATGCCATATTGTTCTGCAGTTTTTGCTTCTTTCTTTTTTATTTGCATTGTGCTAGGGTTAGACTTTGAGGAAGAACGCAAAGATGTTTTTTCCTAGTTATACATTTTTCTTTTGTCAGTATTAAATCTCTCGTGAATATTTTACTATTCATTTGCTAGGCCTAGTACTGGTTTGTACGAAGTAGTTTGCAGCAGCTTATTACAAATACATTTTTCTTTTGTCAATATTAAATCTCTGGTGAATATTTTACTATTCATTTGCTAGGCCTAGTACTGCTTTATACAAAGTAGTTTGCACCAGCTTATTACAAATGTTGTTAAAAACCTTTGAATGTGAAACCAAGTTAAAGGTCTTGTTGAGGTTGATGAATTTATCCTCAATGATTTTCCAGAATTTAAAAGCAGAACTTGTTGCTTTTTAATTAAGTCATCTAGCATTTTATTGGTTTTGAGATAGTCCATACTTTACTTTTTCTTATAAGATTGTTATATAAAAGATTTTGACTGTTCATTTTGTGTGGCTGGTTTTATAGTACATATGGATTCATCCTTACTGTGGAAGATTTGTCCCCAAATATAGGAGTTTTATGGTAAGTTCAAAATTATCTTTATTGCATGTGTGATGCAACTTAAGTTGATCATCACTTACAGTCTCATGCCCTTGATATGTTGTTGCAGGTATTTCTCTGCTGAAGGTTTTGGCTTTTTCAGGAACTTCTTTTTGATGGTTTTCCATGTGAATATTCTATTTATGATATTGCCGTTAGCCATATGGCTTCGCCACCGGCCCTGCTTCCTGGCTTTTGTATACATTGCCATATTTTTCATGCTGAAGTCCTATCCATCAGTAAGTTCTCAACATATATTTTTGGCCGTTCTATTTATACCTTTTTTTTGGAACTGATTTCTGAAAATTTGACATGCAACACTATTAACTTGTGATTTTAGGTAAGTCATATATATATATATATATATGAGCTAGATAATTATTTACATGCTGACTACCACAATCTAGTTGGTGCAATCAGTTAGGTGCTCAAATTAGGGTAGATGATAAAGTTGTTGACTCATTTCTTTTTTGCCAGATACTTGTAATACAGCTGGTTTAATAATGATGTTTACTGTTGTAAATAGCAGCTTTGGATAAAATCCACATGAAGTGGGTGAATATTAACCTTTTCCAAGCTGATTGTGAATGTTGGATATGAGAACATCGACAGCCTGTGTAACCATCCTT